CAAGCTATCCAATTTTATGTCAAACGGGAAAAATGCCAATTTGATCAAGAGGAAGCTGGTTACTTGGGGCATTTAATTTCCTATCATGGGGTGGCTATGGATCCAGGAGAATATCTTCCATGATGACATGGCCTAAACCATCCACAGTGAAGGGGACTCGGAGGATTTTTGGGGCTCACGGGTTATTATAGAAAGTTCATCCACCACAATGGCATTATTGCTCAAGCATTGACCCACATGCTCAAGAACGATTCCTTTAGGTGGACTCCTGCTGTAGAACATGCTTTTGAAGAATTAAAAAGGGCCATGCCATCCGGACCAGTGTTGGCTCTTCCAGATTCTTCGCAACAATTCATTGCTGAATGTGATGCCTCTGGCTTGGGTTTTGGTGCAGTGCTTATGCAAGGAGACCGACCAACTGCTTTTTTTAGCCAAGCTCTGCATGGCAAGAATATAAAAAGGAAATGTTGGCTCTGGTTAAGGCAGTTCAAAAATGGCGTCCACATCTCTTTGTTCGTAAAGACCATAGCTTATTTGGAGCTATGCAGAAATGGTTGGTGAAGCTCTTGGGATTTGATTTCCAAATTCCTCTTAAATGGAGTTAAATTCAATTTGAGCTCAGCATATCACCCACAAACCAATGACCAAAGGTGGTCAACAAGACGTTGGAGATGTATTTGCGAAGTTTTACGAGTTCTAAATCCAAGAAGTGGGAATATAGTTACAATACCTGCGTTCACTCTTCCACCAAGAAGACAACTTTTGAAATTGTCCAAGGACGTGAGCCTCCCACTTTACTTGCCAATGTTCATGGCACGTCACGTGTGGATCCTGTTGACAAGTTTTTACTGGAAAGAAATGTGGTAATTAGGGATGTCAGAGCTAACTTGAAGGTGGCACAGGAGAGGATGAAGAAATATTATGATGAGAAACACACAGGGGGGTTTCCAAGTGGGTGAATTTGTCTACCTAAAATTGCGACCATATCGCCAGCTTTCCTTGGCACAACGGGAAAATCCTCACCCTCTCCCTCAGGCCATTTTGGAAACTCGCAGGTAAGGGGAAGAACAGGAGGTGGGAAGAACAGGAGGTGCTTGTTCATGGCAGAATCTCTCCCCTTCCGAGGCCACATGGGAAAATCTTGCTGAATTGAAGACACGATTTTTCCTTGAGGACAAGGAAATTTTCAAGGAGGGAGGAGTTGTCGGAGACCTTGCCATCAATACCAGTTATTTCCTCTCAAGCAATAATATTTCCTTACAGTAAAATTGTTCTAGATGTAGGCAAGTGTAATTCTCCTTTCCATTTGAATAGGTTATTGCCTATTCCATTAAGAGCTTTTCGGATATTTAATAGCTTGAGTCCACGAATGAAGATACGAGGATTATTTCCCCCCATCTTTTTGATTTGGAGTTGTGGTTTTTCTCAGAATTAAATCAATCTAAGGAGGGCCCTCTTTAAAATACATTTACAGCACTTGAATATTGTATTTTTTACATTATAGAAAATTGAACTAGGCCCGCAGTGATTAGCATACCATTTATCTAGTATTTTTGTATTAACATAACATATAGACTTACTAATAATATTTTCATAAATAAGTAGAATAAGTTGGAAATTTCAGTTTCTTCCTTTGCTTATGATTGTCAGTTCTGCTTGATAACAAAAGGAAAGAGAGTTCTTCATTCTCTTGATTTGCTACTTAGAAAATCTAAGATAAATCATGAGTTAGAGCATGGTAGATGAGAGAATAAGTATATAAACACATCAAACACAAAAAATAAAAAGAAATCAAGTGAGAGATTAGGGAGTTATAGAGATGTCATGACGATTTGAGAAAGAAGAAGAAATGGTAGAAAAGTTTTCACTGGCTAGCATTCGAAACTCATTTTATTTTAAGGTAAGGGGTTCTGAAAGCATATATGTAAGTTTGAGCCAAGATAAATGGATTTTATATGGGATTTTCAATTTATGAATTAAGCTTCATCATTTAAATTTGGAGGAATTGCAAAATTAGGTGTAATTGCAAAATAATGGGAAAATAAAACAGGAGCCATGGTGGCAAGGAAGGATTAGGGTCAGGCATGTTTATTGTTAAATTTAGTTTTTGTTTGGTTTAAATGTTTACAAAATTATATGAAATTAAGGTGTATGTTATAACAATGATGATTAGAAATGGATTAAATTAAATCACAAGAATTTAATTGATTTTGTTAGTATGTTGTGAATTTGTATATGTATATATTTTTATGTGTGTGTGTGTGTGTGTGTGATATTGGGAGGAAATTGTATTACTGATTTATAATTGATGAATTTAGTTAGATTAAATAATTTTTATGTAAATTCATGAATAATTGAATATAGAATCAAGATGATGTCAAGCTTTAAGATCAGCCAAGCATATGATTATGGAAGAATTTGGATAATTGATAATAAATTTTATCAACTGTGATTAATTTTGTAGTGATGGTTGGAAAATAACAACATATATTATACATTAAAATTTTTGTTTTTACATGTTAGAAATTACAAATTGAAGTTTTAGTTATGGTTTTGGATATTTATGAATTTATAGGATGTTATGAAGATAAGATTTATGTATAAAATAAAGGATATTTGCGTGATTGATATATTTGCATGAAAAGAATGAATGAAATATATTAGTGGTAAATAAAAAGTGGTTTGACTTGAATAAAAATAAGTCAATTAGAAAGACACATTGATTTTAGGTTGCATCTTTTTTAAAAAAAAAAAACATGAGAAACATCAGGAGTTAGGCAAGCAATAGGAGGAGCTAGGTTTGTCGAGAAGTAGTAGACACCCAACACCTTATTCCATTTAAGTTTTGTTAATTTCTCTGTATTTTTTTTTTAAATTTTATTTTACTAATTATTGAACTTAGGAATGAAAAGCTTGAGAATGATGGTTTCAAATGAGATTTACAAATGACTCGACTTGGAGTGAGAATTTATAAATTAGATATAAAGAAGAGGTTGGAATTGAATTATGTAGAAATACATATGCACTTATACTCATTGATTTTATGGATAAACATATAGAATGTTCAAAAACTTTGTTTATTATGTTGATGGTAGCTAAGAAAACAATATCAATATTAGGCAATATATGTTGATAGACATGTCAAAAAATGTTCTAAGACTTACCCTACCATGTTGATAATAAATAAATAAATAAATAATATTAATACATATTAACAAACATGTAAAATATTCTGAAATTTAGTTTACCATGTTGACGATAGCTAAAGGAATTAAAATGTTTTAAATTTAGTTTATCACATTAACGGTAACTAAAAAAACAATATCGATATTAGATGATATATTTTGACAAACATGTCAAGAAATGTTTTGAGACTTAGCCTGCCTTGTTGATGATAGCTAAGAAAATAAAATCAATATGTTTTGACAAACATGTAAAATATTCTGAAACTTAGTTTACATTATTGACATTAGCTAAGAAAACAATATCAATATTAGACAATGTATGCTAACAGACATATCAAGAGATATTCTAAGACTTAGCCTACCATATTAATGATAGCTAAGGAAATAATGTCAATATATAGCCTACAATATTAACGATAATTAAGGAAATACACACACACAAATATGTTAAATGTTTTAAAACTTAGTTTACTATGTTGATAATATCTAAGAAAATGATATTGATATTAGGTGATATATGTTGATAGACATGTAAAGAAATGCTCTGGGACTTGGTTAGTTGTGCTGGCAATAACTAAAAAGATGGATTAGAATTATTCAATGAATTACATAGAGGATGATTATAATGGTAAGTAAGATATAAGATATTTAATTACTTTTATGGATGGTAACTGAGGAGCTGGATTAAGATTATTTAGTATGGTGAATAAATTATTTAGTTATTTTATTAGATGATTAGATGATGACTAAGGAAATGAATTATGTAGATAATTATTATAATGATTAATGAAATATTCATTCTTTTTTAGGATGATGACTGAGAAGATAAATTATAATTATCAAATGAATTACATAGATGGTAATTGTAATAGTGAATTAGATATTTAGTCATTTTTAAAGATGATAACTAAAGAAAAGATTTAAAATTATTTAGTGAATTATGTACATGATAATTATAATGGTAAATAAGATATTTAGTTATTTTTACAGATGAAGGTTAAGAAAACTAATACAAATTTTGGTTTGAATAATTTAACAGTGACTGATTTGATATATATATATATATATATAGATAATTTAACAATGACTGATTTGATATATATATATATATGAATTAATAAATTTTTAATATGGTGACAAAAATTTAGAATCATTATAGCTATTAAGTTGATTATGTTAGCTTTGAGAAATATAATCATGAAATAATAACTTGATATCTAATTTTACTTTTAAAATACTATATTTTTTATATGTCCATCTAATTCCATGAGGCCAACGTTTGATAGTAGTCATTAGCTTTTATTGTGCTATGTATATAAACTATGTAATTTAAGTATTATTTAACCTTTCTTAAATTTTAAAAATCAAATTTTTTTGTGTTAAATTAATCCTTCATTCATCCATTCATTAGGTCAATCTTATAGTATAATAAGGAAAGAAAAACAAGTATCAATATAATTGACTATGAATGAATTGTGATAGATTTTAATATACTAATAAATAAACTAGTATGCTTGAGGTGTGATGATTATGAAATTATGTTTCATGTGGGATATTATAAGATAAAATTTTAGTTAGGGTTTTATATAAAAAAAGACTTTGTCAAGATTTTATCAAAATTGATAATTAATTGATTAGATATATTTATATTGAAACGGTACAAGGGTTAATTCATATTTCTACAAATATAAAATACACGTGGAAAATAAGAAAGATGCTTTAACAGAAATATGATAATAGATTATCGATGAAATGAAGAATATAAGATACATGAGAGCGCAACGGCATGTAATATATAAATTGGTGTCGAAGTAACGGGATGATAAAAATAAGTGTTATTGAACACGTTAGGAAAGTTAATGTGTGTGTGTGTGTGTATTAAAATAAAAGGAAATTAAGTTTAATTTAAAGGTTTTTTTAGTAATTTAGCCAAGATTTAATAATACAAAAGGACAAAAACTGCCCATAGATGATGTCGATGTGTTGGTGGCTCCATGAGTGCTAAAATTGCAATGGCAAGATTTCGGAGTAAAGGTACAAGATTTTAGTAAACCCAAAAACAAAATCATCAAATCCCTGGCAACATCAGTACTTCAACTGGCACAATCTACACCATCCAAAATTAAATAAAGTTAATCCCACCGTCAGTGTTGAAAAAATTCCGTGTCCACCTCTCACGCAAAAGTGGGGCAAACTGAAACAGCAAAAGCGCGCCAACACCCACCATACACGTCAGCACCTGAAGTTTTCTAACCAATACGAAATTGCCACGACTTTCGAGTTCCCCTAACACGTAACCGTCAAGATAGTAACTTGACACGTAACCGTCAAGATAGTAACTGAAATCCAAATCCAAGACAAAATTCAATTTTTAGAGTTTTGGTGCATACCTCTGTATTTTTTTTTTTTGGTTTTTCATGGAGACTGCTCGCAATATTATTCCTCGGCCTGTTCTTTGCTTCCCTGGCACCAGAATTGCTACTCACCGTTTGAGCTTGCCTCCTAATGGTCTATGTACTGGGAAATGTAGAATCCCATTTAGAAGCAAATGTGGTTTTTCCGATTCTGGGCATCTAAAATACTATGTGTCGCCAGCGAGGTGTGGCGGAAAGAAAGAGAAGAGTAAGAAGCAGCAGCTCAAGTTGATGAGAAGAGGGTAACGGTAGTTTGATTGGTGACGTCAAGGGGAAGATGATTTCGGTGAGTGTCAGACAAGTCTTCTTTTCTTCTTTTTTGTTGGTGTCAATGTGATGGTTGTAGCAAGCCATTCATGCCTTGGGTTTGATGTAGCCTTATTTAATGCAGGAAGCAACTGAGATTTTATTAGCGGAATTGCAAGATCGGAGGTTAGAGAGCAAGGAACAGATGAGAAAGAGAAGAGAAGAGAGGGCAACGTTGATTAAAAATAGGCCCAGGTGTGACTCTGGATCTTCGTCGTCATCGAGCTCTTCCTCTTCCGGGTCATCTTCACCTGAGTCAAGTGATAGTGATTGTAGTAGAGAGGTAGTTTCCATGAAACAGATGAGAAGCAATGCTTTGAACCCTTTTATAGAGATTGAATCGGCAAATGCCATTAAAGAAGAAGCAACTCAAGAAGATCAGCACAGGGATACAGTATCAGGGGCTAAATCTAATGATTCAAGTCCACAAAATATCAGTGATGGCGCTCAGATGGGAGCGTCTGGGAGGAAGGTTGAGATATGCATGGGTGGTAAGTGTAGGAAATTGGGAGCAGCTGCTCTGCTGGAAGAATTTGAAAGGAAGATCGGAATGGAGAGTTCTGTTGTTGGTTGCAAGTGCATGGGGAAATGCAAGAAAGGTCCTAATGTCCGGGTTTTCAACTGTACTGTTGAAAATGAAGGCATGAGAGTGGAGGGTTCTATTAACCCCCTCTTAATCTTCTATGCACCTGAGTTGGTTTGAAGGATGTGGGTATCATTGGTCGTCAACTTCTGGGCAATGATGGCAAAGACAGGAATCATGCATGTCTGATGGCACCTTCATGAGGAGACATATTTACCTTTTTTCCTTGTGAATTAATTTGTTTAGTTCATTTTTGGCGTTTAACTGCAATTGTGCTGCTGACCATCTGCATAGTTTCAAAAGGAAAAAAAGAGAGGAGGAATAAGAAGACCAGGCAGGCTTCACGGCTTTCATGTAATGAGAACGATGAGCACTGCTTGAAATTTAATTAGCAGCATGAAAATCAGAAGTTTTTCTCTTCTCTTATTTTCTTTTTTTCTTTCCTTGCCTGCAAATTCATATTCTATTAAATACAACAGCAATGAGCTTCTAGGTTGGGGTTACCTGGTTTCTGCCCGTTTATCAGTGGGAGGGGCAACTCCGGGAGCAGCATCCAGCAAGCAAACTCTTGAAATTTGCCTGAAACAGCACTGGTCCTTTGCCCAGGCTTCAAGTCAAGAAATGAATAGCCATCTCAGGGGAAGAACCGCATTCATGGCAATGCATCAGCATACTTGTGCCTACTACAACATCCTACTACCTTTGGCTGAACGACTTGAGTGCTAAAAATATATTTATGGAATTACGTACATTGCAACTTTTTTTTAAAAAAAAAAAAATTATTAACAAACAAAGCAATAGAAGATTATGGTTTGTACCACTTCACTTTGATCAATTTATCGGTGGAAAGAAAGTTGAGAGGTCATATAATCATTCTAGGTTGCAATCAAGCACCTCTTTCAAAAGATTGAGTTGTGAAGTTGATATGCCCCTGCAATCTATGTTGTTCATATTGGAAATGCATCTCTTCAGTTCAACACAAAGGAGTCCACATACGCTTACACGAATTTTTAACATTTACCTCATACCTACAAATATATGCGAAACAACAACGCAAGTCATGACTGAGTTGGCAGAAAAATGGAAAAATATAGGTAAATTTGGTTGAGAGCAGAAACCTTGCTAAGAGAATGCTGACATTCACAGGTTATTGCCATAGCTACAGTGATTGATACACCAAGGATCCAGAACAAGTCTATCACTGTGACCATCCACAGGCATCAATTAACCAGGGAGACATGAGTTTTAGTCAATCAAGGCAGCGCCGATGATAACAACCAATTGCCAAAAGAGGACATAGAAGAATTAAAGAAAGATATTTATAAGTTTTGCATCAAGATAAATATGTTATACTGTATAAGAGAGGTCTATAAGAACTCATGACCTTTTTCCCAATATCTGAAAATGAACTTCATGGAAAGAGTCAACAAAACACAAGTCAAAATCTAAATTAATCTACGCATGGATTCATCACTAGGACAATGTGTCTTCCTAGTCCAAGAAGGACACAGAGAAGGCTAAAAATAAATAGAATGGACTCCATCTACACAGGAAGTATACTGGGAAGCACCAAAAGGGAGTGTTAAAAAGAAATAAACAAAAATAGTTGAGAAATAATAAGAAATTCAAGAAGTGAAATACACCTAACCCCAAAACTTAAAGCAAGGGTGGTCCACATAAGCCTCCTGGTCTGAAAATGCACACAACATGAGAAAACCTTTTCCTTTAAAGATCCTAAAGTTAACTCAATAAAAGTTGAGATTACCTTGTCTCTCTGCAGATGCATCTCATCGTCTCCTCTAAGGCACAAATTCATGCAGCTTGAGTAATCCCATCCCTTCCCTGAAATTTAGTCTTTGCCTGTTCTTTGAATTCAGGTAGAGGTGATAGACATCAAATATAGTTATTGCTCCCTAGGGTAGAGCCTGCCAAACAGGCCTCTTTCAAAACAAAAATAAACTCTAATACTGTCCAAGGATAGAGGTGGTAGCCAGATTCACAGCAAGAACTATGTGATCACTATTCACTTGTTATATCTACTGCAGCAGTCTGCTAGACCTTTCCCCAAACTAATCCTTAGCCAAAGACATAAATGAAAACATATAGTTTAACTAATGATTCATAACTTTCTTGGTTAGCGTCTATCTTCTCATGGTCTTAGTTCTCAACTGCCCAACCACTCTAATGGGTTTTTCCCTAACAGAACTCTCATGGTTTTTTGTATTGATTTACTTTACAAGCATGTCAAGTTGTTTCAGAATTCATCCATCAGCAAGCGCAAGAAATTAAACTCAACATAATACCAACAAGCTCATTCATTCTGAAACTTGAACCAATAAAAAAATTCTCATCAAGAATTTTGTGCTCTGGGGTCCACCTTCTGGTTCAGATGAGATATCAAGTAAATAAATCCAACACTGTTAGAAGTCATTTCAGGAGAACTATTCCAAATTTCATAGCAACTTAAAGCATCCAAATAAATAAGTGTTGGATGCGAAACAAGAATCAAAGTATTCTTATCCCACATGAAATGATAAAAGACTATGTATAGGGTTTATTAATAACAAAGTGCATCAGTAGAATAGACAAAAAAATAAGTTCTGGGATAATACATTGGACTGCCTCAAGATTTTTTCTACTTTTTTCTGAAAAACATTTTTCAATAGTAAATCCAATTTAAATTTCTCATGGCTTAATTAAAGAAACTATCAGGCAATGCAACTCTTATTAATTTAGCTGGCCCAAATGTCCCTCAGGCTAAAGTACACAGATACACAGAAAATTGCACGTTATGATAGAAATAACATGTTCCATCAATTTTTCAGGGCATACCTTCTCACTCTGGATAAAACGTTTTGCGAATCAGTAGATTCTCAGAAAGACGATTTACAGCATCCCTAAGCTTGCAATAATCCTCAGACTTATTATAAACCTGATGAGAAATCCTAGCATACGCTGTTATAACCCCATCCTTATCTTTCACTCCCTCCTCACCATCTTTTAAACCATGATAATGTATCGGAACCTCAACCCCATGACACTCACGCAAATGCGATCTTAACCTCAAAGCATCATCTTCACTTGAAACACGCAATCTCGAAGGCAGACCAACCATGATCATTCCCGCACACATCTCCGGTGAAGAACCAAGATTTGTCCCCCATGATTCGGCCAGCATTTTCCCCATCTTAACAACCTCCTCATGGTTCCTCTTCATTATCCCCTGAATCCCATCCTCAAATCGATTAACAAACTCCAAAGCTGCCGGCACCACTAATTGTGAGCTATAATCCCTAGTCCCAATCCACGCGCTCTCTATCGGCAATCCATTTCCATACTCATGTGAAACAACCGGATGGTGTACATCAAATTCCGAACTCGCTGCTTTCTTACAATACAGAAAAGCAACCGATGGGGGGCAAAAGAACCACTTATGCAAATTACTGACATAAAAATCAGCCCCGATTTCTTTAACATTTATTTCAACACTACCAATAGCATGAGCTCCATCAACAAAAACCTGATCCACACCTTCTTCTCTGCAAATTTTAACCAACTCTTTTACCGGAATAACAACACACGGCATCGACGTTATATGATCAATTATCGCTAACCTAATTTTTTTACCGTTAGCTTTGCCTTTCTCTATTCCTCTCTTAAACTCCGAAATTATCTCCTCGTTCGAAGTAACCGGAAACGGTAACTGAATCTCGATAACAGAACCCCCAGCACGCGTGACGTAAGCTTGAATCGATTTTTTAACAGCTTGGTAAGCACAGTGAAGCATTAAAACGGTATCGTTTTTAGCAAATTTACCTTCAGCGAAGGCACGGCCAATTTGTTGAAGGACGATGGCGGCGGCAGTGGTGGCGTTATCGACAAGGGAGATCTCGTCGACGTCGTCAGCATTGATGAGGTCTTTGATGACAGTACGTGAGTGGAGAATTCCTTTACGGAGAGTGTTGAAGTAGAAGTCGTCAGGTTGTTGAAGGAACTGAAGCTTCCAGTTCTTTTGAGCAGCAAGTACAGATCCGGGGCAGCTACCGAAGCTACCGTTGTTAATTCGGGCTACATTAGGGTTGTGGTGAGAGAATTCATGGTGGATTTCGTGTTCTGTTAGGGAAAAGGTGACGCGTGGTTTTTTGGAGACCTGCGTTGGCGTTGTCGACAACGAGTCGCCGCCGTTTCGAGCTTCT